GGCGCCGACAGCAGCAGGATGTGGAAGAGCCAGAAGCGGTAGTGGGACACCGGGAAGGCGCGGTCGTAGCAGGTTTGGCGACAGCCGGGCTGCAGCGTGTTGCACACGAACTCCTCCTGCTCGTCCTCGAACACCGCACCTCCCACCGTGGCCAGCACCAGGATGCGGAAGATCAGCATGATCACCAGCCAGAGGCGACCCACGAGCGGCGACTGCAGCTGCACCGCGTCCAGCAGGGAACCTAGGAACGCCCACTCCCCCATGATGCTGGGGACAAGGGAGAAGGGTGGTCAGAGGCTGGGATGGACTGGACCCCCCCCGCCCCTCCACGCCCGCCACGATCTCTAACCTTGGAGGGCACCAGGGGCCAGAGATTTTGTGGGGTTAATGTCTGAGTGTGATGTAGTATGGAATCCCCTCAGCTATGGAATCCCTTCATCTGGGCATCTGGGCGGGCGTAGAGGGGTGCTGAGGAGGAATTCCCCTCCACCCACCACCTGGGCCTGCTTGGCTAGACCCTATGGTCTCTCAGATTCCAGGTTCTTCTGCAGGGCCAGCCCTTGCCTGCCTCTTTGTGCAAGGATGATTTCTAGGACCAAGAGCTGGAGTCCTGGTTCCAGTTGAGGCTCCTGTGAGCAAGGGGAGGGCCAGGCCGGGTGAGCCCCCACTGTGTCCCGTGTCCTTTCTTTCCTTCCTCACCGTGGAGAACTCTGGAGGCTGACACAGAAGCCTGTTATCTTAGGAATCTCTCGCCCTTGACCCCCCCTTTCCTCTCCTACCTCGGGCCAAGGGGCAGGGGAACAGACCCCTGGAACCTGGCAGCAGTTGTCAGGCGTCTCCTCTAAACCTCCCCTGACACACAGAACACATGTCCCCGTAGACCCTTGGTGGCCTCTAGGTCCTCAGACCCCACTTACCCTGGGGCCTGTGCTTAGAGCTGAGCGCAGGAGCTTGGGAGACAGCTGGGACCTGTTCCTCTTGGTCCCTCTTTCATTTTCCTTTTCGGATTTGGCAGGGATGGATGACAGGCCAGGATGGCTGAAAGGGGCTAGCTCTCCCCCTTCTCTTAAAGGGACAGGGTGACCTGCTGTTTGGCTCCACCCTGGGAACAGGCCCAGGGCCACACCCCTTGCTGGGCCCTCCCTTTGCATCCTTCGCCCCCCATGCCCATCCCATAGCCATGGGACGGTCTGTCTAGTGATGGACTGAGGCTAACCAGAGCCACATCTTTATTGAGGGAGCCAGGGGGATCATGGGAACTGTCCCATAGACTCCCCAAACTGAGGTCCAGGTCCACACAAGAGACTGACCCCTTTTGAAGGTGGTCTTGTGAGGCACAGAGAGACAAGTCCTTTTTTAGGAGGCAGCAAACATCTATGGCTTTTGGCTCTGGCTCTACCACACTTGACCTCGCATGAGCCATTTAGGTTGTTTAGGTCAGGATCTCTTGGTCCATCATCTGAGCCAGCTAAGCTCCAAGATCCATCTTATTTTGTTTGTTCTGAGACAGAACCTCACTGTGCAGTTCAAGCTGGCCTGGACCCTACTATATAGGCCAGGCTGCCCTGGGAGTGTTGGTTCTCCTGCCTCAGCTTCCTAAGGACCAGGACATTAGTTATGTACCACCATGCCCAGCTTAACGTTCAGGTCTCAACCCTATGCCTAGAAGAACTCCATGAGGACAGAATGAAGGAGTGGACTTGGCTGGCTTCTGTGGTTAAACAAGGGCTCTGGTCTCTGCAGCAATTTCTAGATTTCCTGTGAGGAGTGTGGCACTTCGTAAGGTCAACAGCCATCAGAGGCCCCACCAGCAGTCAGGGTTCTCCATTGAGTGGCTTCAAAGATCTAGGTGCATGTGTGCTGTCCTGCAGGAGGAGAGCGAGGAAGATCCACGCGGGTGCGGCCTGAGTGGACGAGGAGGAGATGGTCTCATCAGGGACTCAGGCTGGCTAGTTTTCTGCTCAGCATGCCAAGGAACTGTCTCTCTCTCTTGCCGGGCTGGGCTTCCCCCGGGTCTTGTGTGGGGCTGAGGGTGCCAGGACTGGAGGTGGGCTGTGCTTATTCCCGGCAAAGGGGAAGGTTGTTAGTCCCCATGTTCTCTGTGATATTTCTCCCCCAGTCAGTCACAAAGGCCTGCATGGGTTTCTGTCTGTTAACCAACCCGGGGGGTGGGGGTCCCCAATGGGAGATGTGTTCTCTCCCCATTGCTCAGTCAGGGGTCTAGCCCAGCCTGGAAAAACTTTTGGTGAACTCCAGCATGGGTGTGGCCTTGGACATTTCCATCCTCCTGTGGGGTCCCTTAGAAACAGGCCTGGGTGTGGGGGTGCTATCCTGGATAAAATCCAAGAAAACAGCACGTGCTGGGACCCCGCCTTCTGAAAACAGGATGTGAGGTGGGGCACCGTTGACCTCTGTCACTTGCTCTGTCCTCAGCCATGGAGGCTCAGGGTCATGTCTCATCTCTCCTAACTGTCCTGGAACGGTCCCAGCCCAGCCCTGCCGCTCCGGTTTCATCAGCCTGGAAAAAGCCCACCAGACCCCACCCCACCCGACTCTGTGTGCCCGTAGGGAATAAGAAAGTGCCAGAGTGGTGGCTAGGGTGGGGCAAGAAGTGGAGAGCCCATAGTCACCCTGCCCTGTCCCCCGAGCTCCCGATGCCAGAGGAGCCTCTGCAATCTCCAGGACCCAGTCCCCTACCCAGATAGCACTGGGCAGCCTGGGAGGTGTTGCTGACAATACCCAGAGCCGGTGGCACTGGCCCTTCTTGGCCCTGCTTGGAAAAGGACTGGACTGGGAAGCTCTGTGTCCCAGACACCTCAATCTGGCTATCGGGCTGTGGAGCCAGAGCCCTGCAGCAGTCACACGTGGCCATTCGAAGGGGCATGTACTCGTCTGTGCCTAGTAAGTTCAGAGCAGAACTGTAACCCATACATGGCAGCATTTGAAAAAAGAAAAAAAGTTTTTCAAGACAGGGTTTCTCCGTGTAGCCCTGACTGTCTTGGAACTCACTTTGTAGACCAGGCTGGCCTTGAACTCACTGAGATCTGTCTGCCTCTGCCTCCCAATTGCTGGGATTAAAGGTGTGCACCACCAACGCCCGGCAGCAGCATTTTAAAAAACAAAACAAGCCACAAACGGCTGGGTAGAATCATTCCTGGCCGAGAGGCCTTCTCAGTGGCATTACTGTATTTGAACTTAATCCCTGCTTCTCATCCCTCCCACCTTTCTCCTCTGCACCAGTCTTCAGATATTTTGTTTGTGCGGGTGCTATTATCGGTGGGACTTGGGGTGCTTCCTTCCATGTCACCCCCAGCACCTAGAACACTAGGAGCCATCGTAGATGGTCTGAAATATTCCCTGGGTGGATAGAGGGCAGTGAGGGAGGGCAGCACGCTCGGAATATCCCTGTCTCCTGCCAGCTCCTCGCCCTGTTCTCCTGGGCTTCGGTCCAGTAAGCATCTCACTTAGTATCACATTAGAACGCAAAATGTACAGGTCTGGGCAGAGGGCTGGCACCCATGTGGGGTGGGGCCTTGGGTGGGGAAGGGATGGGTGTTCTTGGGTCCTTCTGCAGCCACCTTCCAAACTGCACTGCTCCTACACCCCTGAACCTTTTACACAGCCTAAATCCCCCCTCCTCCCAGGGTACTTCATGCTTGGCCTTGGCTTCTACACTCCAGGGTGCTGCAGTTCTTACAGTTAGAACCCATCCCCCTCTCCTGCTTGGATACCTCCTTTGACTCTGAGATTCATTCATTCACCCTTCCTTCCTTCCTTCCTCCTTCCTTCTTTCCTTCCTTTTTGTTTATTGCTCTGGCTGTCCTGGAACTTTCTTTGTAAACCAGGCTGGCCTCGAACTCATAGAGGTCTGCTTGCCTCTGCCTCCCGAGTGCTGGGATCAAAGGTGTGCGCCACCACCGCTGTCTGACTCTGGAATTCTTTACTATTTGCTTTGGCTGTAGCAGCAAGCATACCAAGCAATGGCTTAGTTAACCAAGAAGCTAGTGTCTTCCTTGCTTAGGAGGGTAGCAGACTTCACAGCCACGCAGTCATCACCCAAGCCCTGCTCCACACTATGTCTCAGCAGACTCCAGGACTAACTAACCTGTATCCATTCTCCTTGAACATCTTTAGCCAGAATGGGCTCCTGTGTCTACTCCCATGGGCAAATGGAGGCTGGGAAGTGTGGTCTATTTTAGGGGGCTGTACACTCAGGAGGGGAGAATATAACCCTCAGGATCATGGGTCTACTTCTGGTGCTGGCTTCCCACACTGGAGTGGGCACTGGGGTCACTTAGTGTCCCTAGATCTGCCCTCACCAGGTAGGGAAGAGGAGAAGTCTTCCTGGTCTGTCTGGCCTGTCACCTTGTTCTAGACCCTTCAAAACCACTGTACTTCTGAGCCTTTCTTTATGGGCAGCTGACTCCCCCAACCCTTGTCCCTCAGTACCTCAGCGTGAAGGCCCCACCTGTCATAGCCTTTCACCCCACTTTGGGAATGCAACCTTTCTCTAGTGACTACAGCCTGGGCCCCGCACGGGCTCATCGAGTGAGCAGCGAACTTGGGAATCGGAGGCAGTGCTCTGACACTGGAATGCAGATGGGCTTGAGTGTTTCCTAAGATTAAAAAAAAAAAAAAATGGGGATGGAGAGAAGGCTCAGAGGTTAAGAGCCCCGGCTGCTCTTCCAGAGGTCCTGAGTTCAATTCCCAGCAACCACATGTTGGCTCACAACCATCCATTATGAGGTCTGGTGTCCTCTTCTGGTGTGCGGATATACACGGAAGCAGAATGTTGTATACATAATAAATAAATTAAAGAAAATGTTCTAAGGCCAGGTGGCGATGGCACACACCTTTAATCCCAGAACTCCAGAGGCAGAGGCAGAGGCAGGTGGATCTCTGTGAGTTTGAGGCCAGTCTGATCTACAGAGTGAGTTCCTGGACAACCAAGGCTACACAGAGAAACCCTGTCACGAAAACAACAACAACAAAAGTATATGTGTGTGCGTGTGGGTGTGTGCATGTGTACACACGTGTACAAAGTGCCTGTAGAAGCCAGATCTCCCTTGGAGCTGGAGTTACAGTGGTTGTCAGGTGCCCTGGGGGAGGGGTGATTTGTGCTGGGAATAGAACTTGGGACCTCTAGAAGAACAATATATGGGCTTAACCATTGAGCCATCTCTCCAGTCCCAGCCCCTGGAATTTTAAAAACATTGTTTATTATTATTGTGTGTGTGTCCCCCTACATATGTGCCAGCATCACATATGTGGAAGTCAGAGAACAACTTTTGGGAATTGGTTCTCTTCTTCCTCCATGGGTTCCAGGGTCCAAACTCAGGTGGTCAGGCTGGCTTGTGTAGTAAGTGCTTTTACCCACTGAGCCATCTCATTGCCTGACCAATTTAAAATTTTTATTTTTATATGTAGGCATGTGCTTGTGAGAGTGTGTGTGTGTGTGTGTGTGTGTGTGTGTGTGTGTGTGTGTGTGTTGTTGTTGTTGTTGTTGTTGTTGTTGTTGTTAGGGATTGGATCTAGGGCCTCATGCAGACTAAGGAAGCAGTCTGCCAGTGATTATATCCATCGTGGGGCTGGAGAACTGGCTCAGGGGTTAAGAGAACTTGCAAAGGACCTGGGTTTGGTTTCCAGCACCCACGTGTCAACTCAGAACCATCTGTAGATCCAGTTCCAGGGATCCGGTGCCTTCCCTGTATTCTTCAGGCTTCAGGCACATAAGTGATGCACATACATATATGCGGGCAGAACACTCAGACACATCTTTCAACCCCCCACCCCACTCCCAAAGCTGGTTTGAGTGGCTGGTGTTTGGAAACTTCAAGGTACAGACATCCAGGTGGTAGTACATTTGGGTAATTCTCGTACTCTGGATGTTGAGACAGGAGGATTGCAAGCTCTAGGCCATCCTGGATCATAGAGCAAGCCTGTCTCAAAACAAAAGAAATCTGCATCTCTTTGTGTATCTATGTATACAAGCAGTCACAATCACTGTATTTCTGCCTGGTCCTGGCCGTCATTACCCCAGGCTTACTTTACTACCCGGTACTTGGTTTGGTCTTGA